GGGAGTTGGCGGGGGGCGGGGCTGGATGCCACACCTGGCAGGAGTTCTGGCCCTTGTCCCCAGCACACAGCATGTCGTCCCTGATGGCCGGGCGGTGTCGGGAGGAGTTGCCGTACCTCTGGTCACACTCCCCGTTTCCCACCACGGACACGGCCACCTCCCGCAGGTGGTAGGGGGGCGGCAGCGGCCCTGTGGGGAGGGGGGTTGAGTGGGCGGCGGGCGGGCGGGCGCGGGGGGGGTGTCCCGATACCCACTGTGGTAGCCGAGGTCGCCCCAGCCGGTCACCCAGCAGATCTTCCTGGCGGGGATGTTCAGGCTGGCCGCGGGGAGGAAGACGGGGACCCCGCGACCCCGCGGCACGTCGGCCTCCAGTCTCAGCAGCGCGATGTCGGCGCCCCCGGCCGCCCCCAGGCTGCTGTTGTACTCGGGGTGCCTGATGATCTGGACCACCCTGCTCAGCTCCTCGCCGGGCGCGTACAGCCTCAGCCCGCCCGCCTGCACCCGGAACGCGCAGGCCCCCAGCTCCTGCCTGGAGAGCCGCCGAGCCCTCAGGGAGGCGGGGGGGGGCCCGGGCCAGCCCCAGACACCCCAGACCCTGCCCCCAACCCCCCACCGGGCGGGTCCCACTCACGGGTCCAGGCAGTGGGCGGCGGTCAGCACCCACCGCGGGTGGACAAGCGAGCCCCCGCACAGGTGCTGCCACCGGTGCTGCCACATGCTGTAGAACCGCAGGCTCACCTGCCACGGGAAGCTCCTGGCCGCCACGGGGCAGCCCCCGACGATGCCCGGCCGCTCTGGGCCTGGGATGGTTGGAAGGAGAAGGAGGGGGGTCCGGCACAGCCCCGGCAGCGGGGCCGACCTGGGGCGGGGCGGGGGCTTGGCGGTGTTAGGACTCACCGGGGGTCCCGGGTGCGGAGCCCCCCAGGCAGGGAAGGATGAGGAGCAGCAGCCACAGCATGGCGGGGCGGCGTGGGCAGGAGCTCAGGGCACAGGTTCCGGGCGGGCTGGGCTCGGAGCGGGGCTCAGGGTGACTTCGCTGTCCAGGCCACTGAGCCCCACTTATGCTGCTCCCACAGGATGTGGGCACGGCGCAACCAGCCGTCCCTGGGGGGGGCGGGCGGTGGCCAAGCACAGGGTCTCCTGCCCTTGGGGCCCAGGGGCTCTGAGACGGGTGTCAGCGCCTTCGGACGGGGTGCGGGCGGGCAGCAGCGGCCCAGCCCTCAGTGCCTGGCCCGCAGTGGAGGCCAGAGATGGGAGACGAGGCCCGGGCGCCACGGTTCAGCCTGTGACCATGGAGGACCCCGCGTGATGAACCTCTTCGCCTCCTCCCTGCGCCCCGTCTCCCTGCTGCTTTCCAGCCCGCACCTGCCACGTGCTCCGCAAGGAGCCTCAAACCCCAGAACCACCAAAAAAGAGCACACACACACACACACACACACACACACACACACACAGGACCAGGGAAGGTAGTCACCTGCAGCCCTGGATGGGCAGGGAGGGGGCGGGGGGAGGGGAGGAGGAGGGGGAGGGGGCAGGGGGAGGGGAGGGGGACCTTCACCTCCAGTCAGGTTCCCAGACTGTGGCGATTCAGTACCTGATTGGTCTTCTTTTTGGTTGGAGGTACTGGGGTTTGAACTCGGGCCTGTGTGCTTGTTCAGCTGGTGGCTGGCATTCTGCCCCTTGAGCCTCACCCCCAGCCAAAGCTCCTCGCCAGTGTTTTTGGAGGTGGCATCTAGTGGACTTTTCTGCCCAGACCAGCCTGGTGAGCCGGCCTCCTGCGCAGCTGGGGTTGCAGGCGTGTGCCACGGGCTCAGGGCCTGGCTTGTGTCCTTCCGCTTGGCTTCATTCACCGGCAGGGCCGGGTCACAAGTGCTGGCGATTCCCCACCCGGCCACGTTTGTTTCTATTTCACATAAACCCTCAACGCCAGGCCGGGCGCTGGGGGCCTCTGGGGCCCAGCTCCAGCCCCCTTCAGTGCCATCACACCTTTGTGTCGGAGCCTCAGTTTCCCCCTGGAGATTCACTCTCCACTGACCACAAGGCCGTCAGAGCTTGCTTCTGCCTCCCACAGGGTGCTGCAGGATGAGATTAGGCAGTGGACTGGGCATTGCCCAACCGCCAGCTCAGCCCCGGCCCCCGGACCCTGTTACATCAGAGCTGAGCCTCGAGCCTCAGCCCCGCAGGGAGACCATGCCCACAGCGCGGGGGGGGGGGCGGCAGACCCGAGGGACCCAGAGACGCTGGCGGCCCTGCGTCCATCCGCAGAGGGCCGGCTTCCCTGCCCACGGAGGCCCCAACTGTGCCAGCCGGCCCGGCTGATGATCACCATGGCAACGGCCTCGGGTGGTCACCACATCTCCCTGTGACCCCTCCCGCCAGGCTGCCTTCCCTGCAGGCCTCCCGTACCAAAGAGCGGCCCCCAGCCCCAAGCAAGGGACACCCGCAGATTCTGTGCCCACACAGGGACCCACAGTCTGGAAGCCTGTCACCCTGTGGCTATAGGTTCCAGGGCTCATCCCCACAGCTGAGTCTGAGCTGATCCAAATGGACAGACAGAAATATGGCTAGGTCCCCCACCTGGCCCTCTGCCGGGCGGAGCCCGCAGGCGGACAGGGAGCGGGAGGCCAGCGCTGGCCGGACCCACGCTCCCGCAGCCCGGCGCTGGGCAGGGTGGCACCCCCAGCCACTGCCTGTCCTGCAGCTCCCCGGGAGGGCTGGGCACCCCCTCCCCGCCTGGAAGCTGGGGGGATGGGATTCCTGGGAGGCCAAGCAATTGGGGGGCTGGTGGGCAGACCTGTGTCAGGTCCCCAAAGTTCCCCGCAAACCCAAACCCAGGACCCACAGCAGAAGCAGGCTTCGGGGCACCCGCCCTCCTCCCCACCCCCACCCCCGCGCGTGCGCACACGACACACACACGCACACACACACACACATGCACGCACACACACGCATGCACGCACATGCAGGCACAGACATGCACACACCTGCGCGCACACACACGTGTACACGCCCATGCACACACACACACATGCACACACTGCCCCCAGGTGCCACGCCCAGCCCAGCTGTCTCGCAATCAGCTCCCCCCAGAGTACGAGAGCATGAGGGGCTCTGGAGAGAGCCAAGTCCAGGGCCGGGGGCCGGGGTGTGGGGTGGGGGCCGGGTGTGGGGTGAGGGCCGGGCCGAGGTGTGGGGTGAGGGCCGGGCCGGGGTGTGGGGTGAGGGCCGGGCCGGGGTGTGGGGTGAGGGCCAGGCCGGGGTGTGGTACATGGATGAGAGCTGGAGCCTGTCTTCTTCTTCTGTTTTTTTTTTTTTTTTTTTTTTTTTGTTTTTTTGTTGGTGTGGCTTGAGCTCTGGGCCTGGGCGCTGTCCCTCAGCTCTTCAGCTCCAGGTGAGCGCTCTACCACTTGAGCTACAGCGCCACTTCCGGTTTTCTGGCGGTTTATTGGAGATAGGAGTCTCACGGGCTTTCCCGCCCGGGCTGGCTTTGAACCGCGATCCTCAGATCTCAGCCTCCTGAGCAGCTGGGGTGACAGGCCTGAGCCTGTCTTTACACGAACTCGTTTGTACCCCATGCTGCCAGGTGTGACACACCCCTGTAATGCCGGCACTTGAAAGATGGAGGCGGCAGGAAGTGCAGACGAGGCAGAATAGGGAGAGTATTTCCTCTCCAAAGACAAAGAAATTTAAAAACCAAAATGAGCCACGTTGTATCCAGTCAATGAAGCGCAGTGCATTAGATAAACTAGCAACAAGGTTGGGTCAGAAAAATGATGCAGTTGTATCAGATACTTCCAATGCAACTGTGATGGGTTCGGTTTTTAAAAAGAGGTAGCAGTAAGAACAGCAGTACCCACATGGTATTCAGGAAAGGGGTAGGTTTATTCAGTAGACCTGCTGGGACCAGGCAAGGTTGGCAATCCACATGGCTGGGAAAGGCCTGGGAATGAGAGAGAGCTGGGAAAGAGAGGAAAGAGCTAGAAAAGAGCAGCCAGAGAGCGTCTGGGCCTGGGCTAGGCCTTATGCAGGGTATGGGCGCAGAAAGGTGTGGCCACCTCAAATTCAGATGTGACCTCAGCCAGCGGATGCAGATGTGACCTCTTCCAGGTGTCCCAGTTGCCTAGGTAACGCAGGTACTGGGTGGAGACTTTGCTGCGAGGAGGGTAGAGTCTGCTGGCCATCCAGGAGCGGACCTTACAGGATGCAAATCAACAAGGAAGTGTTTTTAACTGACCTGAAGGAATAGGTTTGGATAAATAGACCTGGAATGTTTATCAGAGGGAACCTGCATTCAAGGTGAGGGTGGAGCGGAGACACCTGTCTGGGCGGCTTAGATAAGACTCTGAAAGGAAAAACAACTGGAAGGGGGTGGGAAGAGGGAGGGGACGCTGCAAGAGATACAGAGGAGCAAAATGGAGAACACTCAGGAGTGGAGCTCACTGGACACTATGTTGAAAATGAACAATACAGCCTGTGGGTGGGGACGGAAGGGAAAAACTGGAGGGGGGGGGAATGTACTCTTCACCTGACTTAGTAACTGTCACCCCTCCATACAACTCCTTCCCAATAACAAAAAAAATAACAGGAGACAGAAGACAATCAAATACCATCACTTACTGATATCTTTAGAAAATAGTTAACACTAAACACTAAAAAAAAGAGGGAAAATGGGGCTGAGGAGGTGGCTCAGTGGTACAGTGGAGGCATGGCTCAAGTGGTAGATCATTTTTCCAACAGTGAGATGTCCTGATTTCAAACCCTAATACACACAAAAAAGCCCAAACTTTTAAAATGATACGTTTAATGTACAGCAGGCCTTGGGGACGTAGCCCGGGTCTCAGAACTCGGGGGCACGCGTCCTCTAGGACTCACACTTGGCTCAGTCTCACCTGGCTGTTTTTTTCCCAAAGCTCCCACATTCCCACGTTGGCTGCCAGAGGGTGGCAGAGAGGCAGGCGTGGCGTGGGGCCCGCGGTGTGGGCTCCACCATCCCCGGTGAACCGGCCAGGAGCGGAGCTGCGTGGCCTCCCATGGGCTTCTGCCCGGCTGGCCCCCCCTGGAGCCCAGCGCCTCCCAGATCATTTCCTTCTTGGGTGGTGGTGGTGGTGGTCCTGGGGTCTGAACTCTGGCTGCTTGCAGAGTGCTCTACCCCTGGGTCGTGGGCACAGCACACACTACCCAACGCAGCCATGGGGGATGGGATCTCCGGCCCCCGCCCCCAGCCCAGGCCTCACCTTCTGAGACGCTGGGTTTGCAGGCACCAGCCTGGACAGCAAGGGGCATGCCGACACAAGTAAACAAGCAAAGCCCAGGCCATTGTCCAGGGGCCATTCTGGACTTTGCCTACTCCCTGTCCATCCACTGGCCTGAGCCCAGCAAGTATGACCAGAGCACCTGCCCTGGCCTGGGC